TAACTTACTTTGCAGTAATTCAGTGAGGCGAAGAAATTCATCCTGTGATTGACAAGATAAAAGACTAGTCATTCGAAGCCAAACAGAATGAAAGTGACTATCTATCTCTGAAGCTCCAGGAGGAACTAGCTTAGAGATAGTTCGCATAAAATGAACACGGCAGAAAATAATAATATTTTGTAATTGCCATGTCCATGGTCGACCTTCAGGATCAATGTCTTGGAGATAATGACCAAGACCTAGAACTAGTTAGCTATAAAACTAGTTTATAAGAGAACTAGTTCTTACCTGAGAGTTGCTTTCCATCCATATCAACAATAATTGCTTTATATCCACTTTGATGCAGATAATGAAACTGGACTGGTGCACCACAGACCTCATCGATCAATTGAAAAACACGATGAAATAATAATCGATAGCTTGCTGCAGTCTCTTGATCCATAAACACACGAAGAAGTGTGAAAACTAGTTAAATATTAGAATCCAGCTTCTAGTAAACTAGTTTAGACTTACTTTTTCCATGCTCTGGTAAGAATGTTGCAAATATCACCTCATTAAAGTCTCCTTTAACTCTTTTAAAAGACATATCAATCTCAAAAGAATCTAATGTCTTCAAAAGTGTGATTTGCTCCTTAAATCCACAGATGATCATTGTACAAATATCATCAGTGTAGATTCCACGGACATAATTCTTAAACTAGTTTAGCAGAGAACTAGTTAGGGGATAAACTAGTTTTACATACCCGGTAGTTTGGGTTGCGAGTATGCTCATATAGTACCCCATTAAAACTCCGACCTTTTAGATATAAAAGAGCTCGCTCTTTAGTAATAATAGCAGAGAATCTATCTTGATTCACAAAACTATGATGAATCTGTGATAAAGTCTGACCATTATACTTAAGGCAAAACTCTTTTAAGGCAGGGCTCCGCAGGAATAAACCTAAACTAGTTAATATATAAACTAGTTTATCTTAAAACTAGTTACATAACTTACTAAGTGTCAGATCAGGATTCTGCATTCTTTTGATTAAATGAAGAATCTCATCCATTATTTGCTGTGGCGGTTTATTAGGCGGCGGTGGAGGATGTGAATGGATTCCAGTAGAGAGAAATATTGCATATGGACATTCAGTAATACTAGTAGGAACTAGTACTATAAATGTCACATTACAATCTTTTCTCTTCATCTTTCCATGGCCCTGGATATGAGGAACACCTAACTAGTTTAGTGAAGAACTAGTTATTAGATAAACTAGTTAAGGGCTTACCACAGTGAGGCCGCCGGCTATTCAGTTGTTCGATGACTCCACAAGGTTCATGAATATGATCATGCTCACCTGTTTCAAACAGCCTTTTCAAAAGATCTAAATCAAGCTGGAATGCTTTATTTGCAAGATTCATATGAAAGTGCTTTTGATAGGTTGAAGGTGAAGCATTTGTGCATCCAATATAATAATGCTGTACACCGGCAACATCCTAAACTAGTTAGTATATTAAACTAGTTTTTATTAGAACTAGTTACTTACAGGATAGTGATATTTTGCGAAAACTGGTTGACATGATGTAGTTGATTCTTGACATGCATTTCGTGAATTAAAACGTTTGATTATACTGCGATAAAGACTAATACTTATTAGAATAATCAAAATAATATATATTTAATAAGGAACCTACTTACCTGGCAGTCTCATGAATAAATAAACTAGTTGTTCTTTGCATAATCCGTTGCCGAATTTCAGAAATTTGAGAGAAAACTAGTTCAGATGCATGTGTATGTTCTATTGTTAATAGTTCAGGATGAATATATTCACATGCCTTTATTCCTGAGCATCGTAGATAATATCGTCTAACATATGAACGTAGAAAGGAACAATATATTTGACGCGGAGTTCCAACAGTAGAGTGGGAATATTGAATCTAGTAGTAGTATTAGAACTAGTTTAATTAAAACTAGTTAATCTGTAAACTAGTTAAGACTTACTGATGTGAAAGGATTATGTCCGGAAATCGTAGGGTTTGAGGTATTCAATCGTACAACATAAGTATAGCCCTGTATATGCGATTGAGGATATTCAGGTAGATGATCAACATATTCAATTTGCTGTGTCAAGATTGGAGTTGGGAAGGACGATGTCAAAGCCGTAGGTTGTGTATTCTAGAACTAGTTAGTATATGTAAACTAGTTCCTATAAACTAGTTTATATGGTTTACCTCGAGAAGATTTGAATCGTCAGCTAGATTGCGTTCATGCAGAATTTGATCATCTAAGTCATCTGATAATATTGATATACTATCATCAGATTCAGAAGAATCATTAGAAAAGGTACTAGGAATAAGATCATTAATAATTGATCTATCATTCTCAAGGTACTGAAAAGATTCATATGAGGCCATTGTAAACTAGTTTTTTAAGATGATGAGAAAGAACTAGTTTAGGGGAAGTATGGAGGGTAACTTTCAGAATATTTACGGAAAGTAAAAAATTATCTCATCTGACCGGTGAGATGAGCTGTTTTAAAATGGTTAGCATGTGATTCGGAAAATCGGCGCCGGTGGTCCGAGGCCCCGGGGGGGTGGTGGGCTGACCTGTAGTCACCGTGTCATGTCACGAGCGATAGATCGTATCACGTGACTATTTTGATATCCGGGGAGGCGACGAGAACGAACACGTCTTCTCTTTGCGCAATTCCCTCATTCTCACAGGTTCATAAACAGTGGATGTTCCAATTTCTGACGCGCTATAAGTTGTTTAGTGAGATTCAAATAAGTCCAACCGGCTTCATGGTCCAAACTTTGCCAAACAGAGATGTTCTACGTGCGGTCTCTCTTGGAGCAATTCTTCAAATTGATAGCGCCGATTAGTAGTCTCAATGAATTCGCAAGATGCAGAAGCCATTCGAGGAATGGACCTGCGGAGCATGCTATATGCTGCATTCAATTATGTCCAGGTTTGCGGCAGGAAACATTGAGGGTGTATCATATCCGATGCTATCCGTCTGAAAGGAAATGACGAGGTAGAAGGAGTACCTGAAGTCAAAGGGTCCAACGAACCAGGAATGATGTGACATTCCTTAGCGGCCCAGACCATCCTTGCTTCCACTCGTTACTCATAATTTCATGGGGATAATGCTTGCCTAAACTCTTTGATTGGAATCTCCAAAATTATCATGAGACTTGTCACTGTCCCACTCTTTTGAGTAAATGGAAATGAAAACACTTCCCTTGTTCACGCGGGTTATCTCGACTATACTTAAAGCTCCAGGCAGAATGCTGGTATGATCAAACGACTTCTACAGCAAAGTCATATCTTCATTCCACCCGGAAATAATCGACTACCTCATCTTCAAGAGTCATCTTGAGCCATGAAAAGCCCAAATTCGCAATGATGTAGGAGAGTCACTTTCGCCAATTTCGGCAATGCAAAGGATACTCTGGCTCTACGAGCGTCGTTTTCAGCGGCTATGATCATTTCCCGTTAATACGTGAATCCGCGGTCGGTAAGAAATAACGGTGAGAGAAAGATCTTCCAGAAGACTTTCGAACATGATAATGTACTATACGGTATTGTTTAGCATCCAATCCTTCTTTGCGAGTGCTCCTAGAAACTAATGGCAACAAGGTGCATACCCTTTGAGCTCCGAAATTGGAGCCTCTGGTGATCAACACGCGAGATGTTAATATTAGGTCAATATGAGATGTACTTGGTTTGTTCCTTGAAACCGGCGGTAGAGTTTATTTACAACCAAGGTAAACAGGTATCGAGCGAAGCCTAGGCCACAAGATCTCCTGACGATCCGCAAGGTGGAGTGATCTACCAAACCAGCAGTAGCGTGATTATCTGGATCAATTGGACCGGCCTGTTTGTATAAAAGAATCTCTGAGTTACAAAATGCCTCCCGAACTGATAACTTCTGCGCTCATAATCCAATTAGGGCATGGCACGCTAAAGGACTAGCCATTATTATCCTCTCACGCCAAGATCCATTGCCCTTCCTCTATAGTCTGGGTGATCCAAAGCCAGCATTGATGGACCACAGAGGCTTCAGAAAGCAGCATGGCAAAGCCTATTCATCGAGATCAATATTAGCACGGACCTCCATGTTCTATAGACACAGTAAGAGGTGTATACGCTTTCGCCAGTCGAAATTAGCGAATCGATTCATAGTGCTTGAGAGTCTCATGCAACCACATCGCATGCAGTTGCGCCAAGGACTATCTTTTCGTGGAAAGTGGAAAGACGCCTACAGGATGATTATTCTGCGAAGATGTCTCCAAAGAATTGAGAATCTTCAATTCCGGGCCAGATTGAGAAGTAACGAACTCGAAGAACTACAAAAGCGCTTGGTAGATAGGAACTCAATTCTCCAACATGATTTTGGGTGAAGCCAGATATATGTAGGCACCAAACTATCTCTGCAGGAATGGTTGGACTCTGCGACTTACGGAGGGTCTCACTTGGTTTGAGATCCAACGTCTGGGTCAGGAGATATGGCCGTACATATGGTAATCCAGCGTTTTGTATTGCCTTTTCGGCGTGACTTTTTGTGACGTATTGCTCTCTGCTCACAATTTGCTTCCTCGTACAATAGTTGCAGCGCAGTCTTTCCATTTCCGAGGTCTGCAAATCCAATTATTAGTGGTTAGATAATCTATGTTATCTATCAATGACTATATCACATGCCGCCGTGGTCTTTATTTGGGATGTCTTCTGGTTCGGAGCAAAGGAAGCGAAGGGTCTGTACCATTGGAGAACTTATTTTTGCACGGAGTTTAGCCTTTGAGTCAGCGCATCTAATCAGAAGATGTCCTAGAACAGCGAATTAAATTAAGATACATCATATCTTGACATAAAATAGTAGGTGTTTGGAAACCAGCGGGATATGGCGTGGGTATTAACATTGGTGAGCCTCGATTGTCTGAAAGCTCCATATATGTGTTTCGTATGTACGAAAAAGAAGCGACCCAGGACAAAGCATCCTACTACACAACCCCGGGATACCCTACTCCTCGCTGCTGATGGTAACCGGAACCTTGCCCATGATACCAGATTCATTCCACTTTCCAATATTGATATTGTATCGTGGGTCTTGATCACGCATCATGAACATATTTTTTTTTCCGGCTTCCATAGGAGCATTCCATGCTAGAGTGCAAATTTTGGCATTCTTTACGTCGTCGACGAGGTCAATTGTGCCTTGAAGCCCTTTGAAACCTTTTTCTTCGCCGCAGGAACAGATATGCCGCAAGCCACCGTTATGGCGAATAACCATATCGTCAACGTCGTCGTTTGTTAGGGTATCGTTTTGATCACCCTCATTATAAAACTCGCCGCTAAGCGATGTCAGACCAAACTGCAAGTCACTTTCAGGCAGACTGAGAAGTAAATACCTATCTATATGAGCATTTTCGACCCGAATGTCATACTTCGTGTCATCTTTAATTTCAATCTCGAGGAACTGCTGTCCTGTTGCAGATGCCATATCGATTCGATTGGTCGATCTTGATTGACACAGTGTTTCAAATAGTCAATTTACGATACAACGGAAATCTCACACGCTCAGAAGAGAACTGATTGTGCTCAGGAAGGGAATGAGCACTATATACGGATTGGATGGATGCGGAGTCGATGACGGAGGTCTTCCTCTGTTTTTATGGTACGGTGCGGGGTCCGCATCCCCCAATCTATAGGATCGATGGATGCTGCCACTTCTTATGACAATACCAATCAGAAAAATAGTGGCTAAATTGTTCAGACGCATGGGTGGCACTCGCGCTGAAAACATTTAATAGCGCCTGTTGTGCGTCATAGTTACGCCGAGATTGTACCCCGCAGAGGACCACCAATCCCCAGATGGGGCATGGTCCCAACAATATGGAATTATGAGTGAGGTCTCTGATAAACAAGACTTCTCAATTTGTTTGGGATCTAGCTAAGAGTACCATCCCTAAGCAAGCTCTCTAGGTATGTACTCAATACTCGTGGCACTCAACCTTGTTCTAGAGCTCTGTCAATGAATCGACGGCTGAGGAGTCTAACCATACAAAAAGCCACCACGGATTGTTTCCTACTTGAAATGTTTGATACAAGCAGGAAGTGCAACGTCCATAATACATGACAGAATTCGACGAAAGTATATCAAAAATCTCCGTCTCCTTCGCAGAAACCTCACGGGTCATGTGACCTGCATCGAGTCTGGGGCAGGAATTCTCTGCTTCTCATTAAATAGTCGCTTTTATGGACTTCGATGATAAGGTGTACAAACGGGACGCGGCAAAAATTGGTATCATTGCCAGAGATGGGCTTCCAACAGTTCAGTCACCCTTCGAATATGGCAATTCATATGGCTCCCAGAAGAACGCTCACTGGTGACAGGTGTGATGGACAATGGAACATCGAGTATACTGGACCCAACAATCTTCACCCTGCTTAACTTTGAAACGAAAAGGTGACTGTCGGACACCTGGCATATGCAGAGAGAACAATCAGGGACAATGGTACCTAGGTACTAGGTACTGAGGCAAGGATGAAATTCTCTGAAGCTCCCTGAGATCTTTCGCTTCATAACGGGAAGCAGGTACAGAAATACCGCCTTGACTTAGCAGAATTAAGCTGGTGAGTACGAGACCGTGTGTAATATCTCGTGTGGGACCGACTTGCCTCTTATCCTCGCGCTGATCAGATCATTAAAGTTTTGGGGCATTCATACAGACAGTCACTACTCACTAGTACCTGGGCTTATTTTCCCCTGGTACTAGTAGGCGAGTCTTGGCGAGTAGTACATACTGTAGACTGCAGTTCAAAAGGCAGGGATCCCTCATGGTCCACGTCTGACTTATTTTCTCCATCTTCACGCCTTTGAAACTTGATCATGGTGTTATAGATTCTCCTGAGAAATGCCCAGACTCCTTCAATAAACACACCATTATGAAGGAGAAGAGCGGATAGGTTGCCCATTTCATTCCCATCTTAAGCTGCAGACAGAGTAAAATTTCTAGACTCGAAATAGCTGGCTACTCTCATAGGCAAATACTGACCTGCGGGCCGGATATAGCGTCATGGCAATATAACCCGTCTGGTGCAGTAACGACAGTTGTGTAAATGGCTACTGTGCTGATTTGGTTTCTATGCGTCTTGTGACCAGTACAAACCGGCCCGATCAATAAATGCATTGTTGCGTTCCGTCATACCTGGGTATTCTGAAGCGAGCATTGACACATGACTTTGTATTAGAGTTAGACCAGGCCTCTGGATCACACGGAGATCAGAAAGCTTCCTGATAATAAAAGAATGCGGAACCAAATTGCCTGCTACTAACCATGGTAGTTCCATATACAGTTCTGGTTTGTATCGCATCTCGCCTCTGGGTCAGGCCACATCCTCCACAAGTATATAGCTTCCTCCACCTCATCGTTCATCGCTAATGCGCCAGGATTGGAATTTTCAATAACTCGGCAATACTCTTCTGTACTTGCACAGGACAGAATCTTGAATACCCATAGTTATGTTTGCAACGAGAACATCCAGTGTCTTTAGCAGAGGGTTGGCACAAGCCCGGAATCCTTTTCTACTCCTGTTGGCTGACATTACACGATAAATAAGCCTAGCTGCGTTTGCAATTGGAGCCATCGTTGGCGGTACGTCTGTATACCGGTACACCATCGCAAAATATAGGGTGCCCCAAAATGTCAATCTCAATGTAAGTATATATCACTGCCTCGTAAAAAGAGGTTCTTCGACATAAGTCAATCGTAACCAGGAGCGGTGTGTCATGTTAGCTGGAAAGTTACCAGCTGTTTATTGCGCAGGATTAAGCTGACTATAGTTTGTAGATGCTACAGAAGCGACTGCTACTGCTTTCTGGGCGCGTTGCAGAAATAGAAAGAAGTAGTATAAGGAAACATTGATGTTAATGGAATGGAAATGTGTTTTGTTATCCTTCTCCTTGTAGCGTTCTATGCCGAAATCGAAACATAGGATTTAGCTAGCAACTGGACATCCCTGCTACGCGAATAGGACTCTATTACCACAGTAAGAGCAAATAGCTCAACTCAATTTTGTGCGTAATAAGTACAGATGTGTCTATACAGCAAAGGCAAATATAATACATGAGGAGAAAATTGCAGTAGTACATCCACATAGAGCATATTAGCCGTCAATCCTTCTTATGCCTCTCGTCCACATCTTTGTTATGAGTTCTTACATCTTCCGAATTATACTCCTTACCCAGCTCGCCGCTCTCCGGGTTCGGGCCCTCCCTGTATTCCTTGAGACTGTGGTATTCTCTTCCTTCGGAGTCCACGGCTACTGGTCGAGCCGACGGTGACTCTTTGTCAGGTGGCGGCTGCGGAATTTTTGCATCATTCTTTGTTGTTTTTGGGTCAGGTATATTTCGCATCTGTCCAGTCTGAAACCCTCTGGGCCATCGATTACTCTGCGGCGTCTGCACGCCGATTCTGTGGGAAATCCAGGGAAGAGCGAGTATAGCGTTGGGACGGGGGCAGGTTCCCAAGGAGACGAACCGCACCCAGCCCTTTGGAGATATTGCACGAGACAGGCTGATATTCGGCATACTGACAGCTGCCATTTGAGACGGGCAGGTAGATTCCTGATTTAAATCATCTAAGCTGGCATGTCGCTAGTGTATATGTATATGTGGGCCCCAATGTTTGGCCGGGGGGGTGGCAATTTCCGGGCTCAGATGACGTAGCTATTGACAGCCCTACCAGGGCACCAAGCTTGATATTCTTACTTTGAATCTTGGTTAAAATGCTAAAGTCTGGAAACAGGTCCAGTCTGTGGTTTGGGGGAGGAGTGTACCAGAGACCACGAAAAGGCTATGAGAAAGACTGGGAACGGATCACGCATCCACCAATCTGACAGTAAACAATGCTGGTATTCAGGCACAGTGTGTTAGATCCACCATAAACTTCTGCTTTCAACAGGGCTTGGATGATTTCAATATACCCATTTCTGGCCGCTAAAGAGTGGTGTTGGACTTGCATATCCGCCGGCCCTCCATGTCATCTGCAATCTCACAAATCAGCAAAAGAACGCGGTTCAGTCCAATCTATCATTGTTCGTCCTTTTGCTGGAAAAGCTACTTGACTAAGGGAGGCTAGGCTGTATGATCGCGATGACCTCTACTACTTCTGATGTGGAGCCCTGTCTATCGCTTTGTATAAACCCCGGTGCTGACAGCATGGTATCCCTTCCTGCCTACCTTCGCCGTCAATTCGCTCCTCCACTCTCTACCCATTGCCAACCTCTCCACCGTCTTCTCAAACGTATACTGAGGCTCCCATCCCAGCTCCCTCATCGCCTTGCTCGAATCATACACCCGATCAATCCTCGGGAGATGCTTCCACCCTTTTTTCTCAAACACGGCGCCTAAACCCGGACACATCTCGTTAAATACCTCTGCCGGGTTCCGGTCAAGCCTGTCGAGCGTGTGCGCATCATTCTTGAAGAGCGGAGGCGAGCTGATGATGTACTTTCCCCATCGAATATTTCTCGCTTTCTCCATCGCGCAGACCGCCGCCCGCACGATATCTTCAATATCGCATCTGCGATAAGCAAGCTCCAAAACCTTCAAGTTCTCATCGTCCATGGCCGAGCGGCGCCCCTCATCGTCGTCCTCCTCGGGGAAAAAGCGGCTCGTCCGGAGAACTAGCACCGGCATGCCGCTCTGCTTCTGAACCAGCGCGCACAGATCCTCTGCTGCGACCTTTGTCACTCCGTATATGTTTTTGGGTTGGGGGACAACGGTTTCATCGATCCATGCAGCGGGGAATCCCGGCTTGGGACTGAGTGCCATGCCGAATGTGCTGGTCGTGCTGAAGAAGATGAAGCTCTCGATCCGGTGGCTGTATTTGGCTGACTCTTCGAGGAGGACTAGCGTTCCGAGAATATTCGTCGAGACAAAGTCCTCGTTACCATGGCTGCAGATGTGTGGCTTGTGCAATGTTGCAGGGTGCAAAACGTGCTTGATGGGTTGGGACTTTAAGATGGAGCTAATGAAAGCTCGATCCGTAATAGATCCTACACGTGTGGTGGTGGAAGAGGGCAGGATATCAATGCCGAAAGGTGTGAAGCCCAGCGAAGGAAGAAAGAGCATGAGAGCAGTGCCGAGGTGGCCTGCCGAACCGGTGACAAGGACATCGTATGAAGACATTGGGATGCTCGTACGAGTTATATATATACAACTGTTGCTCCAATTGCTGGTCTTCTGACAGACGCAGAGTCAGTAAGCTGCAGGTAGTAAATTGAATGAAACTTCGTCCAGATTTTGTTATCAATAATCATGTGATTGTAGGTCCTGCATACAAGAAACTGATCCATAATTTTCTGTGACTCATACTTGCTGTCGCTTCGGCTATTCGGATCGCTTATTCGTCATCCATATCCATATCCTGAGAGGAAACTTCATATTAATATCTTTACCGATACGTCTTGGGAAGAATCTGACAGTTTTTGTTAAAGTTAGTTATCAGCCGTATATCGCCCGTTTGAATTTGGCTTGGGAAGTATTGTAACTCGTCACTTACCACCGGACATCACACATTACGTAAATTGTCGGGAGCACTCCATCAATAGAGTCGGACATGTAAATGTTAGTTAGATGAAAGAAACTGCTTAGTTACATCAACCAGAATCACCACAGCATTTTCAAGGAGAACCTCATTAAAAGCATAAAGGGAGCAATGGCAGGGCTTCCACAAGGATATCTTGATCAAGTGACTAAAATATTAACTGAGCTCTTCGTGCTATTTACGCTTTGGTTGAGAGGCAGGGAATGAATCACATATAGATAGGTGAAATAAGCGCTTTCCAATGAGCTATTTCTCTAACAACGGTAGTATAGTGTATAGTTTGCGTGGTATGCAAGGGAACACCCAAGGAAAAGATTTAAGATTACAAACACACAATCCCTTGCGACCATAACATACACATCATGAGGATGAAGTTCCCTGCCAATTGCCAATTCCAAGCTCGTTCGCTTAATTGATGATATCCTCAGCGCGTTCTTCCATGAGACTCTTCAGCATCATCTGAAAGAATAAGATCGATTTCTTGATCGAGTGCACCGAGAATATGCTCAGGAGGGAACAAAGGCTTCCAGCCAATTCTGAGGCCATTTTTTGCTGTCAAAAGGCTTCTGCTCGGAAAAGTTACTCTTGTTGCCTTTGGACCTGAGAAAGGAATTCACGTACTCTCCACTCACTTGGACCGCCACCATTTCTTTCGGTGAGCCGAGCGCGGCAGCCATAGCAGCCAGAATATCATCGTCGGCCGGATGGACAGCACTATCCTTGAGGAGGCCTCTCTTGAAAAGTGCAGCGGCAATGGATGCGTAAACGTCTTTCCATGCAACCCGGCCACTTGACGGAAGGTAGTAACCATTTCGACCATGGGGGATATCGTCCGATGACAGTATCTTTCGCAGTATCTCGACGTACAACATGGTGTTGTCAAGCAAATGGCAGACCGGCCAAGCCTATCACTGGGAGATTAGATTTGGATGTTATTGCGTGGGAGATTACTCACCCAATCGTCTCTTTCATTCAGATTGTATACTCTTCCAGTTGCCTTGGCTGCTCTCACAATAGCAGCTGTTTGAATCGATATCTTGTTCCCGAATCCTTCTCCTTTACCATCTGTGCTGATGCTCAGTTCCTAGCTCTGCATTGTAAAGCGCAGTAACTTACAAACCACGCAGGGGGCGAATATGTAACTTTTCACACCGAGAGACTCGCTCAGCTCTATGATCCGACTGTTTGTTTCCACGCCCTAAGACGTGATGAGATTGAGAAACAGATGATAAACTGTCCGACTAACCTGTTGCATGATCGGGAGCGTGGACCGCTGAGATTTCTGCATCTCGTATATGTTGGGGTCATCGTCGAAAAGGAGATGATCAACTGGGGCTCCGGCATGGTTGGAGAACGCCTTCGCTCCACTGGTCTAGACCTCGCAAAAGGAGTCAGCAGGGGGGAAATACCAGGAGCAAAGAATGAGGACTTGCATGAAGAAAATGCACATCCTGCCCAGTTGTCTTGCTCAGTTCCGCCAACGCCTGGATAAAGAACTCTTGACAGCTCGAGCTGATTGCGTCGACCAGAAAAAAGACAATGTTTATTCTGTTTTGCAAGATGCTGTCGCGCACGCTGGCCTCGTCCTGCATATCAAACTGCAGGGGTTCGGCGGAGTACTGCTTTACAGCCTTGGCCTGGGCGACTGTTCGCACGAATGCAAACAGTTTGTTGTATTTGGGAAGCTCTGCGCTCTTCAACTGGTTCAAAAGTGTGCCTCCCAGGTAGCCTGACCCACCAGTGATAAGAATGTTGTATTCCATGACCGGGGGATAATTGACGGACTTGTACAATCACTGGTGACAGGTGATGGCTCGAAGATAACTCGCAAATTGAGGAATATTGAAGTATTCGTTGAGTATCTTGGCCAGACTGCCGTGAACTTATATCCTCTGTGATAGAGCCGATTACTCATTGACGAAGGAGAAATCGAGGATTGCTAAGGATTGATAATAGTTGCGGGCAGCACCGGAGACTTTCTATTCCTCCGAATTTGTCAGTGGCCGACGCTCTACTCGACCGAAGAACAGTGAGTGCCGTCATCACCGTCACTGTTCTTGCAACTGCGGCAATTCCATTGGTCATTGCACTGAAGGTACAGAGATTCCCGTTAGGACTTGAAGTTAACTATGCCGTCGATATGCTCGAGAAGAAAAGACAGCCGTTGACCTTGACGTACCAGTCCTGCTGTAAAAGAAATGATGTCTAATTCTGCCACAAAACTTGATATCTGTTACCAAAGGAAGGAGATAAATGGGATGACCATCAACTTTCCTCCTGAGCCCCTTTCCCTCCATTTTGCTTCTCACTAAAATCGCTAATTCTAGCATCAGACTCCCACGCCTCGCCCAACCCGACCTGATCGAAGAAATCCTTGATCGTACGCCCCTCGCACGCTTCAAGATCCGTACCCGTGGCTTTCAGAGCGCCATACGACCGTTACATGGCCAGCATCGCTGGAATAAATCCAGTACACGGGTAGATCGCAGCCCGAAAGCCCAGCCGATTGCACTCTTCTGGCTTCAAGTCGGGCGTGAGACCCTACATGCCGCCTGTCAGCACACCCCGCTATGTATTCTCGATTGAGACTGTCTCACATTGGGAAGAACATTGATCAGAATGGGTACAACTCCCATCTCCTTGACCAAGGTCCGACACTCCTCCTCGGTGCGCGGGGATTCCATGAAGACCATATCGGCCCCTGCAGCTGCAGCAGCCTTGAGCCGCTTGATATCTGCATCGAAGGCCTCCGATCCGGCGTTTGGACCGCCAAACTTCTTGGCTTGCCGTGCATCCGTTCGCGCGATGATGACAAAGTCCGGATCCTGGCGTTCCTCGACTGCGCTGCGAACGCGCTCAATGAAGACTTCCAAGTCCACGACGTCTTTGCCTTGTAGCTGGCCACACCGCTTGGGAAAGACCTGAAGTGATTGCTGTCAATACGGACAACGTGCATGAGAGGTAAGGGACCTATCATACCTGGCCTTCAATGTGGAGCCCCGCGATTCCCGCGTGCTCATACAGTCTCACGGTGCGAGAGATATTCAGCGGTCCGCCAAAACCTGTATCCGCATCGGCAATGACAGGTATCTCTGTGTGCAGCGCGACCATGCGCCCTAGCTCGAAGAACTCTGCCTGGGTCATGGCAAAGAGGTTGGGTTCGGCGCAGTACAAGCCCGTCGCCCCGCTGCCGGCCAGGTACAGAGAGTCGAATCCTATCTGGCTTGCAACGCGTGTTGAGATCCCATCAAAGACGCCGGGTCCGATGAGGCATCGCCATAGGATCTGCGTTAGGGATTCCAGCCAGGGGACGGCGTGGACGTACCTTGCTTCAAGGCTTCCCGAAAACGCCTTGTTGGTCTGTTATTTTGGACACTACTCATTTTGCCTGAGTGTACAAAGGCATACACTGGCCTGGAGAAGGATAATCAATGGTACAAGGGGTTGTCACCCGGGAAGGCCAGAAGAGGGATGAAGTCATCGTGACGGAGGGACGGACAAGTCAGTATACTTGCTTGTAGCGAGATGATTGACTATTGCTTGGTTGCACTGAAGCGTTTCATTTTAGAATATGTTGCTAAATGGCCGCACATGGCCATGGCTGCGGCGCACTAAGACGGCGAAAGACACGAAGACACCAGCGAAGACGCCATAAGTAGCCTGCATCTCCCCGGCAATGAGATCCTGACACCGAATGCATCTAGCCAGTGTCGGACATATCTACTAGTTATCGAATCCAAACGTCGTTCCCCACGGCTGATATCCTTCTTCAAGGAACAAATCCTGCAGTGCCCGTCTGCGGATCCCCACATTCCCTCCGTCAAAAATAGGCAGGACAAGCGCAGTAGCGAGGAGGGAAGCAAACGGCGTTTCAAGGTTATACGCAGAGCTTCGACTGCGTTAGTTTGTGCAGACAACATCAAGATTGTAATACGTACACCCCCACCGCGTTGATCGCGTCTAGACACGACTGCACCGCTGCATCGGAACAATGTACCTTGGCCAGCAGTGCGTGCTCCCGCCGCTGCGTATGCTCGCCAGGACCCGACGTCAAACAGTGTGCTGCTTTCCACGTCAGGTACCGCGATGTCTCTGTTCGCATTTTGATGTTGATCAGGAGGTCCGCGACGGATTGACGTTGAGCGATGGGGACGGTGCCCCCGCGTGAATCGTGAGAGAATGCCAGGGCCGCATCGAATGCGGCTCGTTGGACCCCGACGCCCATTGCTCCTACGAGCATTGCTGTGGATGTCAGCTGGCTCTGCCTTGGGGTGGATAACACCAACCCGAGATCTCAAAGGAGTGTAGCACGATGGGAGCACCGGCGCCTGGCGCGCAGAGGACGTTTTCGACTGGGACTCGGAGGTTTGTGTACTATCTTTTCAGCGTCATTTGTAATCTGGAGGAAAGAAATCCACAACCTACCTTGATATGAGGACCTGAGGTGGCCTTGTGTCCCGCCGTCTCAACATGCTTGATGACCTGGAAGCTGTCCGGTCCGTTTCTGTGGATATTCTCCCGAGTAACCAGCAGAATCATGATGAGGTCCTGAGGACATGAAGCCTGCGCAACCACGTCCTCATCAACGCATCGACACACCACACAACTCAGATCGGCGCCTCGAAAGTCCCAGCCTGCGGAGTTGGTAGCCCATATCTTTTCACCGTTCAGAACCCACTCGTCTCCCTCCCGGCGTGCTGTTGTTTGCAATCCAGGCGCTCCAGGTTCCAGCCAATTTGCCTAAAGTGATCAGCATAAACATGTAAGAACCCGAAAGAGGGGAGAAAGCATACTACGCCAGCCGGCTCCGAAAACACCAACGAAGCAAGCGGTGCCCCCTCGCTTGCAAGGAAGGGATCCAGAAATTTCTGAATGGAAGGCCGATAAGCCAGCGCGACCGGAGTCAAGCCCAGTCCGGTTCCGAAAATGGTTAATGAAGCGGATGCTTCGACGGCGTAGAACTCCTCTACTAAGATAGCAGCCTCAACCAAATTAGTACTGCTGCCCCCGATCTGCGCCGGCACCTGGGCCTTGATGAGATTGGCCTTGACCGCGGCCGCATAGATGGGTCGGAGACTTTGAAATCGCTCTTCGGGTGTTGCGAGGTCTGAATATATTGCTTGAGCGCCAGCTAAGTGGGCAGCGGCGAAGCTGCGCGCTGCTGCTCTTGTTTGCTGTTCGGAGTTGGAAAGGTTGAAGTCAACCATGTTTGCAGTTGGATGTATGAGTTGACCGTCTACCGTTTGAAGAGCCGGGTCTCATGCCACGATAGATGTTTACTCATATCGTACGAAACTAGACCAGCCCCGCCTACCCCTCATGTATTAACAGGCGGCATGGAGCTTTTAAAAGATCACGTCAGATTTTAGCTCATGGCTGTATGCATGAAGATTGATCAAAGGAGAGTTTAGTTTGGATACTGACTGACTGCTGACGGAGAAACCCCGCAAGCTGATATCATTCTTTCGACTATCGATCTCCGTCAGACACGCCGCGTGTTTAAGAGACGTCGGTCGCTGTCTGACGTATATAAATTGGACCAGATCGTACGATGTATGTACGGTGCCCTAGTCAAAGAATGTAACTAAGAACGCACCGTATTGTCGTCAACCATACCTTCAACATCTTCACTGATAACACATTCAGCCGTCTCGCAGGCTAAGGCAGCACACAACTGCTTTTTTGCAGCTCAACCTCCTCATCGCGTTCAATACATCACAATCATGATTTGAGAAACCCAGTATTCGAATTCTTCGAGGGAGAATAACTCCCGTCCTTGATATCCGTAGCTGGTCGGATTGCCGGCCTCAACACCGATTGGATTTCCCCGCACAGTATCACAGGTCCAAACACCAAAGAGCTCGACACTATCGCTGGACTACCAGAGTTGGTGCGACAGTGGCTGGAATAAGACCAAAAGTTTATGGAATACCTAATACTAACCAGCCTGGGAACTCGTTGCATGATGATGACGGTCTAAGAGAAGGACTGCCTGAGCCACGTACTTAAGGCTCATCTTCTCTGCCAGTGAATAGTATCTCCCTTCCAATTTATTCACTACTCCGTCAACGCACCAATTCATCATCATGTCATTGGACATTACGGTATTCATTCCCACCCCTCGGTCACTGTTGTCTAACAAGTCCAGACGTTCCACAATGTCATCAACAATGAGTTGACGACCACCGCGCAAACCCGTCACGGCATTAACCCTGCGAATAGACAACCCAACCCCGAGGTCCCCGTTTCGACACAAGAAGATCTCGATCGAGCCGTTGATGCCGCTCGCCGAGCATTCCGAACATGGTCCAAGACCTCGTTTGACGAGCGTCGCACCGCCCTCAACGCCTTCGCCGACAAGATCGAAGCAAACAAGGACGCTCTGGCTCGGCTCATGACGCAGGAGCAAGGAAAGCCGCTCAGCCAGTCCACCGTTGAGGTCGGAATGGCCGTGCAGTGGACTCGAACAATCCCCACAATCGAGATCCCCGAAACGGTCATCGAAGACACGGACGAACACACCATCATCCAGCGGTACACGCCCCTCGGTGTCTGCGGGGCCATCGTGCCGTGGAACTTCCCCGTCCTGCTGGCCGTCGGCAAGATCGTCCCCGCCGTTTACACGGGGAACACCGTGATCGTCAAACCTTCCCCGTTTACGCCGTACTGCGGCCTGAAGCTCGCCGAGCTGGCGGCGCAGTGCTTCCCGCCCGGTGTGGTGCAGGCATTGAGTGGGGGCGATGACCTGGGACCTATGATCACGGAGCACCCGGGCATCGACAAGATCAGTTTCACCGGCTCGACGCTCACGGGGAAGCGCGTCATGGCGAGTTGTGCGAAGACCCTGAAGCGGGTGACACTGGAGCTGGGCGGGAACGACCCGGCCATCATCTGTGACGATGTCAATATCGATGCGGTCATTCCAAAGGTATTTTGCCTCTGTTTCTAAATGTTACGAGCTACTGACGTTGCAGATTGGGATCCTCTCCTTTCTCTGCTCGAGCCAGATCTGCATGATGGTCAAGCGGCTGTACGTGCACGAGAAGATCTACGACGAGTTCCGGGAGAAGCTCGTGGCGTTTGTGGGATCGCTCAAGGTCGGCGACGGCACCGAGCCTGATGTCTTCTTCGGCCCCGTGCAGAACGGCATGCAGTATGGCAAAGCCAAGGATCTCGTCGAGAGCTTGTCTGCAGAAGGTCTCACCACCGCCCTCGGCGGAACCATCCAGGACTCGGCAGGCTACTTCGTCCCCCCGACCATCGTCGATAACCCTCCCGAGTCGGCCCGGGTCGTGCAGGAAGAGCCGTTTGCGCCGATCCTCCCAATGCTCAGGTGGTCGGATGAGGACGATGTCATTGCGCGGGCGAATGCCACCGAAATGGGGCTCGGAGCATCGGTATGGAGCAAGGATATGACCCGCGCTCGACGGATAGCCGATCAGCTCGAGTCGGGGAGCGTGTGGATCAACTCACACTTTGACGTGTCGCCCAAGGCGCCGTTTGGAGGACACAAGTCCAGTGGGATTGGCACGGAATGGGGGCTGAACGGGTTGACAGCGTATTGTAACTCCCAGACCCTGTGGGTGAAGCCAAGTCTTTAGCCTAGTTATGCCAGTCGTATCATTCGTATGCTATCATGATTATTCCCATAAATCTCTCATGAATGCAAACTACTCCACCGGCCAGCGAGCCTGCACACGCTCCGTCAAGCCAGCCCGAGCCACCACCTCCTGACTACGTTGCTGTGCCTCGCGCACGATCTCTGCCTCGTCCATGGTCAACAGCTCCCCGTTCCGAACCAGCATCTGCCCATCCACGACCACGACATCGACATCCCTGCCCGTCGCCGTGTAGACCACCGCGCTGATCGGGTTAAACCACGGCTGGAGGTGAATCCTCCGCGTATCAATCGCCACAAAATCCGCCTTCTTGCCCACCTCGAGACTGCCAATGCGGTCGTCTAGGCCCAGCGCGCGCGCGCCGTTGATGGTCGCCATCTCTAGCACGGTCTCCGCCGGCACCGCCGTCGGATCGTACGAGACGCTCTTGTGGATGATGCCCGCCAGTTTCATCTCCTGCAGGAGATCGCACGTGTTGTTGCAGGGGGCGCCGTCCGTGCCGAGGCCGATATTGACGCCCGCCCGTTGCAGGTCCGGCACGCGGCAGATCCCCGACGCCAGCTTGGCGTTGGAGGTCGGGCAGTGCGCGACGTGAGTGCCGGACGCTGCCAGCTTGGCAATGTCCGCGTCGTCCAGGTGGACCATGTGCACCAGGACGGTGGATGGGGAGAGCAGGCCGACGGAGGCGCAGTAGGACATGGGGGTGTGCTTGACCGAGGCGAAGAAGTCGCGGTCGGCGCGGACTTCGGCACAGTGCATCGTGATGGGGATGTTCTTCTGCCGGGACAGGGCGGTCATCTCGCGGTACAGGCTGTCGGAGACACTGGATTATCAACTGTGTGAGCGGGACGAGACTCGGGTGAGAGGGTGAGAGGTGCGAAATTACCCTCCCGGTGTACGCGCCCCAAACCACACGCGGATGCGGTCATTTGCCTTGCCGTTCCACTTCTCCCACATCTTCAGGGTGCCCAGTAGAGATGTCTGGCGGTCTTCCACGAGGCCGGGGTGCATCGCCCATGCATCGTCTTGCGCGTACCGTGCGATATCCATGACAATTTTGCCGAGACAACCGCGGATCCCACTCTCCTCGACGGCACGACACAGGCCATCGAAGCCGTACCGATCAGCGAACTTCCTCAGTTATGAGTTACAATCCTCACTACTCGAGACGGACCGAACACATACCATGCTCTCCAAGAAACACGTCGTCCCCGACTTCAACATCTCTCCGATACTCAACCGCGCCGCAGCATAGCCGTCTTCCGCCGTGAAGTTCCCCTGCAGCACCCAGATCCGCTCGCAGAGCCACGACACCAGTTCCAGGTCATCAGCTGTGCCCCGGAGCAGCGTCTGGGCTGTATGCATATGCGTGGAGATGAGGCCGGGGATGACGATGCGGCCGCTCAGGTCGTACTCTTCTTCAGTGGGATACTTGGCTCGGAGGGTGTCCGTCTTGCCCAGGTCGGCGATCAGATCGTCCGCGACGTAGATAGCCCCATCCTCGATGATCCGTCGGGAGGGGTCTACGGTGATGATAGTCGCGTGTGTGTAGAGCATATCGAGACAACTTAGTCAGTTACTGGACTTGCAGGCGACTCGGACAACACAGTAAGTATATATCTCTTATTCCTCTCTACCTCTCTATCTATCATGTTGATGAGCGGAGACCTCCGACGGGGACACGGAGATGTGCGAGGGAGACTAAACGTCGATCTCCATTAAGCGAGTCGTGTATAATGCTATTTACTTCTTGACATAATTCTGATGCCAGGTATAATCCCGATTCTCCATTAAAAACCCCCGAATCGCGTCACGCGGCGTGGTGGGCTCCCGTCCCAGCACCTCCTTCATCAACGGATCGGTGTGGCTGATTTCCCCCTGCGCAATACTCTCGTACCAGCTCACGAGCGCCTGGAAGAACTCGGCCGGCTTGCCACCCTGGTCGTTTGCCCCGCTCAAGCGCACATACTCCTCCGGAGAGACGATCTGGAATCGGACATTCCGTCCCGTCGTCTCGTTAATCACGTCCACTGCCTCGGCGAAACTGATGGTCTCCCCTGCTGCCAGGAGGACGATCTCGTTCTCGTGGCCACCCTGGAGCATCAATCGGGCGTTTGCTTCCCCGAGCTCCTTGCGCAGAGTGAAAGCGCAGCGGCCGTCTGCGGGGAGGGACACGGTGGTGGTATCGGGATACCAGTTCATGAACAGTGGGAATGCATCGGCGTAGACTCCCTCACGGATGGATGTGAAGGTGATTCCGGACCTGGCTGGTAATCAGTGAACTGTACATCCCGAACGTCAAGAGGTCGTATCTTACTCTCTGAGTAAATCTTCCGTCTGCAGATGGGCCTGCTGAATGGCCGCTTTGGAATCGGATTTCAATCCCCCGAATGCGAGCGATGTATACCACACCTATCCAGTCAGTAAGCTGCAGTATCTCCTGCAAGGAACCGCAGAAACACGTACATGTTTGACGCCCGCTCTCTTGGCAGCCTCCACGAAATTCCGATGCTGCTTGATGCGTCTCGCATTGTCAAAGACATTGGTACTGACAAAGAAGAGGTTCTCGACGCCCCCAAAGGCTGCGTCCAGCGTGCGCGGGTCATCGTAGTCTACATGGCGAAATGCAATTCCTCGATCTTCGAACTGTTTCCGATTCGACTCGCGCGACGAGGCGGCCGCGTATTCTGACGAGGGACGGTTGGCTTCGAAGTAGGCGAGAACCTCTTTGCCGAGGCCGCCCGTGGCTCCGGTGATGAGATATTTGAGGGTCATGGTCGTTCTTATTTTTGTCGATTTGACATCTTTTTACTCGTCTGATCTGCAGCAAGTACAGTTTTATAGTTGTTGTAGGGAGATGATTTATAATCAACTTGGGGTCGAATAAGACACTAGCAGGGTGTTTTAGATCTTGAAGCCAATGACGATGCACGATGGGCCAACTGCCGCCATAGAATCGAATCGAATTGACATTGACATTGATGATAAATGACACCTTACGTAAATAGTCGATGGCTGTATCCTCTCATTGATCGCAACAAATCTAACTAAACCTGTTGACCATCACTAATGCACGAAGCCATAATAACGACATCTCCACAACTCTCCAATCCAATCAAGGCTCCTCGTCAGAGATGAGCTCCATCCACCAACTTCCCGAATGGTATCCATCTACCGAACCACATTCTTATTCAACGACCGGATCGCCTTCAACATCTCGCCGCTTTCCTGTGCCGATGGTCCACCTCCAGCAGTTTCCTTGGTAGGTGTTTCCTCTTCATTCTTGCGCTCATGCCATATGCCTCCAGAGCATTTTCCATCCCAGCGCATGCTCTCCGCCGCGCACGACCAGTGAGTTTCTGCACAGCGGAGAGCGGACCGTACAAGTGATTGGGAGGCGCTGCATTCCGCGTCGGCTCGACTGCAGGAACGGCCCTTTCCGAGGGCAGCGTCGCGCTGGCAGATGGTCGAGTCGTCCTCGGTCCATTTCTTGACGCACCGACGACGGGGGGAGTAGGTTGCGACCAAGGTCCCGGTAGAGATCAGTGGGGGAGCGGCACGGGTCGATCTCGGCAGAGCTGGAGATGGCGGGTGACTGGGGATCTGGTCGAGCGGCTGTCAGTCAGAATGATTCGGGGGGTGTCATTCGTAGAGATACTTACCACGATGGGCTCATCTGTCCCACTGTTTTCGGGCTTTGCACGCCGGGATTCTTTCCTATTGAGCTCAATTCAACAACAGGATCCGTGTATTGACACCTCTGGCGGCATTCGACGGAACAAAGAAACCATGGCGTAAAGCACACAAAGACTCGTTGACACTGGACAAACTCAGTTATCTTTGACATGCCATGGAATCTGATCCTAAATTAGATCCCTCCACATGTCTCGGACACTGCAACGAAAATTTCAGGCAGGTGATGGCTCCTCAGTGCAGATGACCGACAATGCCACGTCTAGCAGTAAGATTGGCCGGAGTAGATGCCAATAAACCTTGGTCAACTATTCTGTGTCATGAAAGGTATTGAACGTCGGTTGCGTTTAAAATGTCCGTAGCTGAGCTCTGATGTGTCATCTGATGCTGAGACAGTTGTTATCGAGAGAATCGACCCGCACTCTACCAGCAGAGACTCAATCGAGCATGCAGATAGGTCTATTGCAGCTTTAGAAAGGCTCACAGGTGGCAACAGCTTAGAATACATACCGTGCTATGCATATAGCAATTGTAGAGGCAAGGCTCATTGATCTGCTCAGATCAAAGGATGTTGGCATCTGCTGTGGTGGATGTCAATGTCCAAGTGCAGCAGCATTACGCGGCTCTATGGGTGCCGCTACAGGCCCCGACACAGTGAGTGGAATTTTCCTGACACTCGCCTGTCGCTGAAGAGTCTAAAAGATCTCAATCTTATACCAATGGTTCGATCAGTTGGGCTGTACTGGATTCGCATAGTTCGTCTTACCGTTTCCGTTGTTCCTGAAGCCATTCGGAATCTTTTCCGACCCCCTCGCTGATCCCATTGTCCCCACCTGAGCTCAGCTTTAATGTACATGCCATCGCTCTCATAGACAGTGACTCGATAAAACTGCGGTGTTTCCAATTAATGTGGTCCTTACGATGGACCTGCAGAGAACCTGCACCTGCAACTGCCCGTATGATGTCTCCATCGATGAGGAACTGCGCACAGTCAGGGAACTCTCTACGTATCACGGTGAACGAAATTCTCAGGAAGATGTTTCCTCTTTTTATCAGATCGTGCAAGACTGACACATGCATTCCGTAGAGAACTATATACCAAGTCAACTCCGGCAACCAATCTATCAATGTGGCTCATGTGGCTCATCAGAAGATAACAAAACAAAACAACGGAACCTCATAAACAGGTCCGCAGATACTCTCCCAACGCCATGATTGCCATCGCTTGCCCGTATGGCATTGCCGTCAGCGGAATGTCCTTGTAGAACTGCAAGCAATCACCCATCCCCGTGCCGAAGCTGGTATTTTGGAGCTCACCGTGCTCATCCACCGAGCTCATCACCGCCACAATCGCTTTCTCCGCGACGGGACGATACTGCGCGCCGATGTATCGCTTGCGGACGGCTTTCAAGATGCCGTACGCAAACCCGGCGGTTGCAGACGCTTCGACGTACGAGTCCGGATGGTCGAGGAGGGTATGCCAGAAGCCCGTCTCGCTCTCCTGGAGCCGCTGCAGGGCCTCGCACTGGGCCTCGAGCGTGTCGACGAGGTGGATGCGGATCGGATCCGTCGGCTCGAGGTCGAGCAGCTCGATAATCTCGGGGATGACGATGGTGACCCAGCTGTTGCCGCGGGCCCAGCGTGCGCGTGCAAAGTTGTGCCCTCCCTCCTCGAAAGTCCAGCCGTGGAACCAGAGGCCGGTTTGGGTGTCGAAGAGGTACTTGATGTGAACGAGAAACTGCCGCTTGGCCTCGGCAACGTACTCGGGACGGTTCAGGAGCTTGCCGATCTTGGCCAGCGGCAGGACGGTCATCATCAGCGTGTCGTCCCACAGCTGCTGGTAGTTCTCGGTCAGGTAGGTTGCGTGCTGCATGCCGCCGTACCGCGTGCGAGGCAGCTCGTACATGGCCCATTCGGCCCAGGCATCCAGCCAGGGGAGATAGGTCACGTTGCCCGTCTTCTCGTAGACGTAGGCCAGCGTCAGGAAGACCGCCATGGTGTTGATGTTCTTGGTGGTGCCGCCCTCGGCGAACCGCGCAGCAAACCAATCTTCAATGATGCGCAGGAGGGACTCATCGCCGGTCATCTCATAGTACTTCCAGATGCCGTACAGCCCGATACCATGCGTCCACTCCCACCCGTGCCAGGATTTGGTGTCAATAACCCGACCATCCTGTAGCCGCAGCAGGAACTTTCCTGTGGCGTCTTTGATGTTGACCAGGTTGGTGATGAGCTGCTTGACAGTCTGATGGACCTCGGTTTGCGAGGGTCTGTTGGAAGTCATTCTCGTTTATTTTTTTATGCAGCAGTGGTCAATTAGCAAGCGGTCTTTCTTTATCTCACCTTCACCATAATAATAATAATGGCTGACTCGCGGCATCTGGCTATAAATCCTGCGGGGTGGAACCGGCCACTGGTGATACGCGGAAGAAATGGGGGGATATTCTCCGCGTGGGACACAGCAGCCTTCGGGCCATCGACACCCCGAAACCCAACGCCAAGCAGGAGCCAATTCGAATCGAGAAGCGAAGTGATTGGCCGTGGCTAAAGCAGTAACGGACAGGAGCGGTTGAGTGGTTGACCTTGCCAGTGCTCTCGGGCCATTCCACCCCGCTCCCCTCTCAGATCCAGTTATCTCCAGTCATTTGTCCCATGGGGAGGCGTTGCCAAGAAAGCCGGGGAAAAGAGTCAAGCCAGCCAGGAAACCATGTGCACAGTCGATTTCCTTTGCGACCGGGGTAATGATCTCTCGAATTGGGCTGTCTGACTGAGACTCGACCAGCCTGGGCTGCTTTTTCTCGATAAAAAGGCCAGAGCTCCTCCGTTGTCTTTCGTCTCGGTCGGACCTCCCCCCCTGTGCTGCTGTGTTTCTGTTCGACCCGCTCTCACGCTTTGGTTTCTTTTCTGCTTACCATATTCCACCAGTTCTGATTTGGCCGTCATGGCAGAAAAAATTGCCTCGAGCCCGGTGACTTCCGGCTTCCCAGGAGCTGGAGATGACCGGAAGCAGCCCAAGGACATCGACCATGTCGAACGAGTGTTGTCTGACGGGCTCACAAAGGATGAGACCGACTTCTCGCGGATGGACAAGGATCTCCAGGAGTACGTGGCTCGCGGACAGGTCGATGTCGACGAAGCTACCAGCAAGCGTTTGAAACGCATGATCGATCGCCGCGTGCTGATCATCATGATCTTCACGTATTTCCTCCAGGCTCTGGATAAGGGTACATTGTCATTTGCCTCTATCATGGGAATCCGTACCGATCTGCATTTGCAGAATGGCCAAAAGGTGGCTTCCCCCTTCCTTTCTTCTCGCTGGACTACCTTGTATGACCGAAACAGACGCTGATGGCGGTCACTCTAGTACTCCTGGTTGACGACCTGTATCTACATCGCCGTCTTGATCGTCGAATACCCGACCAACTGGATTATTCAACGTGTTCCTATTGCCAAGTACCTGGGCATCAACATTTGTCTCTGGGGTACCGTGCTGGCTCTGCATGCTACTTCCAAAACCTTCACGCACATGGTCGTCTTGCGTACCCTGCTGGGTATCTTTGAGGCCTGCTGCCAGCCAACCTTCGTCTTGTTGTCCAGTATGTGGTACAAGAGAGAGGAGCAGGCGGCGACCGTGACCTACTGGTGGGTCGATCACACCAACCTTTAACTTGAATTGCTGCTCACCATCACCAGGTACATGATGAACGGTGGTCAGCAGATCGTCGGCGGTCTGCTCGCGTACTGCTTCAGCCTGATCGGCAAGGACAAGGCCATCCACTCCTGGCAGGCCCTGTTCATCACCTACGGCGTCATCTCCGTGCTGTGGGGTCTTTTCGTCATCTTCTGGATGCCCGACTCGCCCATGCGCGCCAAGTGCTTCAACGAGGAGGACAAGCACCTGATGGTCGAGCGAGTCCGGGCCAACCAGACCGGTATGCAGAACAAGAAGTTCCGCGCCTACCAGATGTGGGAGGCCTTCCGCGACCCCCAGATGTACTGCTACTGCGCCATCCAGATCTTCACGACCCTGCCGACCAGCGGTCTGGGTGCGTTCGCCAACATCATCATCAGCGGCTTCAAGTTCACCGTGCTGCAGACCCAGCTGCTAGCCATGGTGCTTGGTTTCTATATCATTATCGTCCTCCTGAGCTCCGCCTGGCTGGTCAAGAAGACCGGACAGAACCTGCTCGTTATGCTGGCCTTTGTCATCCCGTGAGTCTAGCCTCATTGCCCTTGCTGAGCGTATTCATCCGCTGACCCCCATGATCCCCCCTTAGATCCTACGTCGGAACCATCGTCCTCATGACCGTCGAAAACAAGAACATGGGCACCAAGGTCGGCCTCCTGATCAGCTACTACATCACCCTCTCCTTCTGGTCCGCCCAGACCCTCTGTCTCTCCATGGTCTCCCGCAACATCGCCGGCGCCACCAAGAAGTCGACCGTCGTGGCAGCCACCTTTGTCTCCTGGGCCGTCGGCAACTCCATCGGTAAGCCTACCTGACCCTCACCTCCCCATCGCACACAAAAAACAAAGAACCAAACTAACGAATACAATCCAGGCCCCCAAGTCTTCCTCGACAGAGACGCCCCCCGCTACTTCATCGCCTTCGGCGTCCACCTGGGCTGCTACGTCTGCCTGACCATCGCCATCATCTTCCTGCGCTTCTGGCTCGTCCTCCAGAATAAGAAGAAGGACCGTGTGCTGGCGGAGAGTGGCCTGTCCTCGGAGAACAATCTCACCCATGCCTTTGAGGACCGCACGGACCAGGAGAACTTGCATTTCCGGTATATCTACTAGCTGTCGTACTGGTTATGGTTATGAAAGGTTTATTATACGTTTATTACATGTGGGATGCCATCGATTGGATAATAGCATGATAATCATTGTTCCGTATGGTTTTCTGTAGGGTAACTTTATTTTGTAAGATTGCTGGTGGACACTTGCCACTACGGTGCCTGCTCAACAGTGCTATTCGTACATTAAACGGGTGTTCCTTTTTTGACGATGTCGAACTGGCCAGTGTTGTAAAGTATACATACGTCTTGCAAGTTACCAGAGGCCTGCCTCATATGAGAGTCAATTTGGCACCCTCTACAAATGATCCCTTTAGCCGAATCCATTGTCCAGGCATAGATGTCTGAGGCTCATAATTAATCACTCTCCGCTAAGCGATATCCAGCTCAGTTGTTACCTGCCATTTGGATGCCGTCTATGACTCTCTCGATCCTGAAGGCCCATTGCTCCCTGATGGTACAAGATTAGCCCACTCTGCTAGCTCAGCCTGGGAGCAACACCAGGCGAAAGTCACCACTCGCGTACAAAAGAGAAGACCCAGTAGGGTGCCGCATCGTACTGTAACCGGGATGGCATATCTGGGATGACGTTGCTCTGAAGCCGTCGTGGAAAATAGATATGCAGTTGACATTGGCTGCTTGCTGGGCCACGACAGATGGGCTCCGATTTGGAGGTTAATGGAATGCCCAGTTCTAAAACTTCGAGCGTCCCGCATACACACCCGGGATATCTGCAACTTCCACAAGCCGAGACTTTCAGATAGGCGCGTTGATGAATTCGGTGTCCTGTTGATGGGTTCCCAAACTATTTATTGCTATCACGGTTGTTACGGGGACCATATGCACATACCTCATCCTTCCTGGATCCAGCCGATCTACAAAAGACTACAGAACGGTTTGTTAATTGCTAGTGCCAATTGAAGTCGCCAGATATGCCTAGATAGTTAGCTTGACGACTTACTGGTCACCGTTTCTGGTCCCATTTTCCTGTCTAATTAAGTGAAGTTTATGCCTGTGCTGCATGAAAATACCTCAAGTTCGTCTACTCTACCTCTCAATTCAGATCTTTTCACATAACTGCTTAGTTCCTCTTACATCCCTTTTTTAGTTCCCAAACTATCTTATGAAAAATTCAACACCACTAGACAATGTACGGAGTACTCCTTTCAACACAGATCTTTCCTGTGCAATAGTTGTGTTCCCAACTGGGAAATAGGACCGACGCTTATCCGAGTAGCTTAAATCAGCGTTCGCTTAAGAGGCATACTCAGTCTTTCACTCAACATCCTCTCATCCCCTATCTAGACTATCGCTGCAATTATCAATCGATACTCTCACTGCCAAGTCCGCTTCCCTAGTCGGCGACAGTTTGGTTGATAATTTGAAAATCACACTATATATCACTCGGGAAAGAACCGCGAAAGGGATGGATCCATTCGGCCGACTTCCTTGGTTCATCCTACAACATATTCTTTCGAATCTCGCAGATTTGCCCTCGCTGTATAGATTGCATAATGCATCTCGGGTTGTCGCGGCATTCCTCCACGAGAATACCGATCTGTTCGCCGTGATTGTGGATGCGATTATCAGAAACCCTGCTCGCGAAAGGGGCCTGCTCCCACATGTTCAGCATGCAGTCAGGCTCTTGGTCCTTGTCTGGACCCGAGCCTCGGATTTACAGCCCCAGCAGGCGAATGACGAAGCTGCAGAGCCACTGGAGGCATCATACACACATATTCTAAGCACCCTTCGATATGTTAGAGAACGGTTCCCCCAGAGAGAGCTTCCAATGGAGAAGACAATATCCAGGTCAACACCGTCGGCCATTCTTTGTCAGCTCCTTGCCCTGATGACCCGTTTACGACGCATAGCTCATGCATGCTTTCATTTAATGATAGCTAGGTGCTTGAAGTTGCGGGTGGAGCATCTGGCCAAAAAGACTAAGTATATCAATACAAGGAGTGTAGTTGACCGGAGTCAACGCCCTCAGGGAATTCCTTATGTTCCTCTTGATATCGGACCAGCAACGTGGTTTGAGGAGCAACGCTTACTTCACGGTTTACTCTGTATTATTCTTTTTTATGAACTTCGGAAGACACACGCGGAATGTTCAGTTATAACGACAGACGGTCAGCCAGTACAGACATTGCTGGATGACGACATGGAAGGGTTCTGGAAGACAATATTATGGAAGTACAACGACGGCCAGGTGGAGCAGATAACTACTCTTCTTGAATGGCTAGATGAACAGGCAGGTGGCCATGGAAAGTTATACTCCTGGCTGCTCTCCGGTCCGATTTCTGAGGAATTCAGCTACTGCTGCGGCCGTTATACATCAATGACAGATGAGGAATGGGACAAGGCAGAACTAGATATGTACCTTGGCCGATCGTCCCGAGGCACACAGTGTTTATGGCGATGTAGTAACCACAATGGATCGCCTCTCAGATGTGTACGTTACTCGGCCTTTCGCCCATATGGTCTTGTTTTTTGGGATTGTGCCAGACTAGACGCCCTGGGATTTCCAGGAAAGAATAATTTGCGCGCAATGTTTTTCGCCTGGTCGTCCATACTCTCAGAAGATGACTGGGAGGAAATTTTAAAACGACAGCCCATAACTCCACAGCCTCCTGAACTCCACGAATATGAAATATGATCCAATTTCGGGATTCCCTGTCCCGCGCCTAAACATAGGATGGTTCTAAGTCCTCAAAAGTCAACTCGCAGACATACTATACCCATGAAATCTTTTCTATTGCCTCCCACGCTGGATATCCATATGAATTACTCATACCATGCCAACGAAAGACCGACAAACTACTAAACACAAATTCATATCTTATATAATTGATTGATTCTATAGTCAATCTCAAATGCGATCAGCAAGTAGCAGTGTGGCACTTTCGGACCAAAGTTGAACAATCTCGGTACGAAGAATAGAGGAACTACCTCCAATGCTTCAGATGAGGCTAAAGATGAGGCCACGGCTTATCCAAGCGTTCACAATTTCACAGGATCAACCTTGAAGTAAAGCGACGGCACACCATCTGCTCCAAATACTGTAATCTCAGAGACTGTCTTCAGGCCCAGCTCGGCTTTGTGCTGCGTCAACAGCCAACCGATACCGCGGCCATTTGGGGAGTAGAGCAGAGCATAGTACGCATCTTGGTAATATATTGTTTGTTAGGTCATCAATCCAGCAGTTAAGAAACTCTGTTTCTTGACTACGTATGGATGGCGCCCGTTTCGGGTGACAAGATATGTCTATTTCACGCGACTCGCGGAGACTCTTGGTGGGAGGGTACAAAAGGATTCCCCTTTGAATGCGCAGGAATGGACAGCGAGACGGGAAGCGGGATGAAGGACAAGCTGTACATCGGCCGCCCAGACAGTAGTTCATACGTCAACCATCCCAAGCTTTGGGTCGTCATCGGGTCATGGTTAATCTACTGGCAAACAGAAGTTGTTGCCAGCAATGGTGTATGATATGGCATCATCGGCATTGTACTAGATAAGTCTTCTCACGAATAAGCTTCTTGGTGATCCTGTGTTTCTGGGTCGTGCAGGTGCCTACTGCCTCAGTAGTAATCATATACAACATTGACAGCCAATGAACGAATATTGTGGCGGTCCATGAGAGAACTCAAGTTTGAGAAATGGCCCACCTGGAGCAAAGCCAGTAGCTTGTACAGATAAGGTCGACTGCAGATCCGGGACGGGGTCGAGTTGAGACTGGCCGAAAATTCAGAAAAGGGCTCGACTCATAAAAGAGGTTTGCCGGTCTATCACTACCTTATCAGCTCCTACCTTATCATGACCACTCATTGAGTCCGCGGAGAAACACAACAGCATACAATCTTCTCTTATCTCGTCTTAGCAGATAAGATGGAGCAAGACTACTGGTCGTTTGGTGCGGTGGGCATAAACCTAATTGGAGCGGCTGCACTAACTGATTGCTCCAATTGCCGAATGCAGTAAGTGGTGCTTCTTCTTATCATCCCAAGGGGGAAATGATGCTGTATCTAGTAAGTCAAGGGCTGATATTATTCCACAACCTTCCCAGAAATCTCGAATGGTGGATAGAGGTGGATCACGGCTGATCGGTCGGTGCGTCCGGTGTGAGGAACTTTATTGTGTCACTTTGGCATACCGTCATCACTGTACGTACAGATTAGAAGACTAGATAATACACTTCCAGATCCAAAAATCCGGTGCAGATCTGAGATAAGAAACAGGGGTGTAAGCCATGGCGTCCGATTGATTCCGGGGTCGTGTATCAGATGGACGATATATCAATCATCCCTCTCCTCGTTTCGTTCGTCGTCGAGTCAAACAAACTAGAAATTTACGCTAGCTGTGAATCAGACGCGGCCAACACAATTAGCATACCCTTCACCCAAGGGCACTTACCATCATGACGACTGTCAGCATTGACGCCCACGCTCCGGCCGATGTCGCCCAGTTCGTGGCCCATGCCGGAGTAAGCAAGGGCAACATGCGCCTTGACAAGGTCTTCTTCAGTGCCTTCTCTGCCGGATGTCTGCTCGCTTTTGCCTGCGGGACGGCCCTGAGTACCAATACAACGGCATGGTTTCAAGAAAATGCGCCCGGCTTGATTCGCACAATAGCCGCCCTCGTCTTCCCTTATGGTTTGTGTATGATCATCTTAACGGGAGCGGACCTCTGCACTGGTTCTTTCATGGTATGCTTTTTCAGACTGCTACTCTGCGAATATACTTACTTAACCTGTCTAGTTCACCACCGTCGCCGCACTCCAACGCAAACTGCCCTGGTACAAGATGCTGCTCCACTGGTTCGTGACCTTCTGGGGGAACCTGGCTGGATCCCTCTTCGTTGTCGCCATCATCTTTGGCTGTAAGCATCTCAATCCCTTGACTTCTACCCAGGTCTGACATCTTGCTCAAGACGGCAACGTCTTCGCTGCCGACCCCTACAAGTCTGAAGTCATCGCCTTTGCCACTAAGAAACAAGTCACCCCGGACTTCCACCATATCTTCCTTCGCGGTATCGGCTGCAACTGGCTTGTCTGCCTGGCTTGCTTCCTGGGTGTACAGGGCCGGGATCTCGCCTCCAAGCTCGTAGGTATCTGGTTCCCGACCTTTGCCTTCGTCTCGCTAGGCTTTGACCACGTCGTCGCCAATATGACCTTCATCCCGATGGCGATCTGGCTGGATGCCCCCAAGATCACAGTGGGGCTGTACATCTGGAAGGGGATCATTCCGACTCTGCTGGGAAATATTATTGGAGGCGGATTGTTTGTTGGTAGGTGCACCTCTTGCGAGTTGAAGGATAGTGGCTGACCGAACCAGGCACATACTACTGGTACATGTACCTCTTGAGTGGAGAGATGATTACTCTCACTGGGATGCGCAAGTCAGGCACGACAACGCCTCGTTCAGTGGATGATGTGGAGGCCATGGCTGCTGATAAGTAGCAGAACTGATTGATTGGCATCTTAAGTGGTTGAATTTAGCGTTATGATTCCCTATACAGTTGTTGGCGCACGGTCAGGCATGTATTAAGTTATTATCCACTTACATGTGAATTAGACAAGTAATATCTAGTGTCTATTTATCAAGCAGGTATGCAGTCGCATCTATGAAACCACCGCTTCGTACTGTTGAGATCATATTCCTCCTCCAACACCTCTGCGCAAGTCATACCGGTCATGTACGCGGGAACCTGCAAGTGGGTGCTCAGGGGAACTGGCACAACGCTCATGTCCGCCACGCGCAGATTCTTGATAAAGCGAGCGAATAGAAAGCACTCTGCTGTCAGAGCGTTGTAGCTCTAGGCGAGCTTTGTCGACACTGCGGTCGGATATAGACAGGAGAAGAGAAGATCGGTGAGGTGCAGCAACTGTTCATTGAGAACTGAACGAGACAGAGCTGGGAATTAGTGATGTTCTTCTGCTGTTTGTGTTCTGGGGTCAAGTGCGATTAAAAAAGCCTTGTACCATCCTGTCCCCTCCATCTCCCTCCAGTGCCTCTGAGCTTCTCCGCTCCCGCCTCAATGCGTTCCCAGCAAGCGTATGCCATAACCAATGGTGAGACCTCGGCGCCATGCGCGACCGGTAAGACATCCTCGACGGCAACGATTGTCAGCCAGCCTAGAGACAGAAATTTGGAGCGCAATCTTCGCAGGAAGCTCTAGCGATAATCGGCATGATACTCTTGCCGCCGGAGGCAGGGGTACGCGAAAAGCTCGTCTTCAAGCATAGCTTGTGCGGTTACATCTGCAATCAAGGGAAGATCTTGCGACCTGGGTAGCCGTAGATGCATGGTGCTTCTGGCCTGAATTAAGAGTCGTAACTGTCTCACCGGTCATAGTAGAAAACGGATCGCAAAATGAGAATGCATCGCTCAACACTTCTCTAAGTAACCGCGATGTCATTTAGTATCAATATTTATCTAGATATGCTTAGGAGCCGACAGACTGTTGGTACTGGGTCACCATCACCGAACTAGGCAAAGGACCTGAGGAAAGTGGATACTTTCCTAAGTGGAGTACCTCTTATAGATTCCGAGGCTTCCAACTGAAGCAGCAGAGATCCAGATTTGTCCTTGCAAAGTCAAGGCGGCATCAGACCACCACTTTCCCAAACGGGTCACCTGCAAAGAGATCCGTATCTGTATCTGCTCGAAGGTCAGGTGACTCGAGCCGCTCAACTGAGAGTCCACGTTAATGGCAGTAGTCTTGCTCTCGACGTCTCGGACGAATGGGAAACGTCTAATTCTCTGTCGACGTTTTTGGGACACTTCTGAACGTGGTTCAAAAGGTTGCTACTGCTTTTCTGATCAATCAAACAGCCGCGTTTCCACAGCAAAATGAACTTTGACTCGGCCGACTTGACGGAACCGTGGACTCCTCAAAGGCCACACTCTCTGGACCACAAACACTGGGCACCCGCCACCACGGAACCGACGACCAGAATACCATACCAACGAAGGCAAACCACCGAGCAGTAATGACAGATGAAAGCGAACTTTCCGTTGGATCGCGTCTTCCAGTCGCCAGAATCATAGCGAGCCATTCGGGATTCTTCTCGACGATTCGCCGACCTCGCTATGTGGGCTTTCCCTGCCTCAGGCTACACCAGGCATTCATCATACCTTATCAGGTTTAGTGCCAGCCGCCATCCCATTCTTCCCCGTAATTTTTTTGGGGTCTCGATGGGAATGATCGAATCGCCTCAAGGGCGAGAATAGTAGGAAAAAAATTGGCTCTCGAACCCCAGACCCCACGCGGCCCATGCGTTCGTTCTTTTTAACCTCCTTCTCCTTCTCATCTCCTGAATTTCTCCATCCCTTCTCTTATGCTTATTCATTTTCTTTCCCTCACCAACCACTGTCTCTTTGTTGTTCTACATCCGCTCTTCATCGGTCTCTTCGGAGGAGGGGATCCCGCCGCCACCGCGTTGTTATTCGCAATTCGGAAAGCCGTTCCTTATAAGCTAGGAAACCTAGGCTTCGCAGTATTTATCCCTGGCGGTTCGGTCGGTTGGTCAATTGAGGTCTCTCTTCGACTTGCAGTCTTCTCCAGCGTCGGTCACCACAGGAGATTCAAGTGCGAGCGGGTGATCGTCGAAACAAGGCCGTCATCGACTTGGTTATGACAAACTGGACAAATTGCGAGATTCGATCTGAAGAGTGTGGCTCTGGAAATACTATGGCGCTCTACCTGACGATTGTGGACCAACTTGTGATATCCAAAATTCTGGCGAAACAACTTTTCTCGATATCGTCGCCTCATTTGCCGTGACTTTCTTAGCCAGGTCGATTTTCTCGTCGTTCTCCTCGTCGCTCCTTCTCAGCAATCTGTCTTCCAACGCTCTTTACGAACACGGCTCTCGTTTTACCATGTTGAACTCCATCACTGAGCTTCCTGAGGGTGTGGGGGCCAACCCTGAGATCCGCAGTCTGGCCATTCGGATTTTGGTGGTGGTGTTCAACTCGATCGCTCTTTACAATACGATTGAGCTCGTGATTCTCATTTTCCTTACGTTCAATCGCTACAGCGGCCTCTACTTTTGGAGTCTTTTACTGTCGGGTGTACTTGGGGTCATGCCCCATGCTATTGGTCACCTGCTGCAGTTCTTCCGTATTGGGCCCATTGGCCTCGCCATCTCCATTGCCACTATTGGTTTTTACTTCATGGTCCCCGGCCAGTCGTTTGTGTTGTACTCTCGACTTCATTTGGTGGTGCAGAATCGGAAACTTCTTCGGCGCGTGCTTTACCTTATCATCATTGACTCCATCGTCCTGCTAATTCCCACGACCGTTCTCAACTATCTGACCGTCTATGTCGGCACTCTGCCCGTTATCGAAGGATACAATGTTGTGGAGCGAATGCAGATTTCCTGGTTCGCAGCCCAGGAGATGTTCATTTCTGGAATCTATATCGTGGAGACCATCAGGTTGCTGCGGCTGCGACCGGACAAAGCATCCAACCGGAACAAGATCATGTATGAGTTGATTGCAATCAACCTTGTAATGGTGCTCTTGGACGTGGCTCTTCTGGTCCTGGAGTATCTCGGTCTCTACACACTTCAGGTGACGATCAAGGCGGCGGTATACAGTGTGAAGCTCAAGCTCGAGTTTGGTGTACTGAGGAAGCTTGTCTCTCTCGTCCATGCTCCTCAAGCCTCGAGTACCACCGACATCGACGAGTATCCCGCCTTTGTCGACCCATCTCAAATCACCGGCGATGTCACACACGCGGCGCCGGTCAATCAACGAACATCTTCACGCCGATGGGATGCAATATCCCTTGACAGCCTTGTTCGATCCGAGCGAAACAGTCGACACTTTGAACATACCGAACCTCCATGACACTGCACATGACATCATCAACCATTCGAAACTACGCACTAAATGTGCCTCAACCCTTTCAAACAGGGTAGGACCGTGTCCTCTTCCGGTACGTCCAGATTCTGGATTATTGGATATCAACCGCAGCCTGCAATCACTACTGGTTGAGCCAGACTTGGATTTCAAGCAGTCGCCTGCACCGGGCCGGCCCCATTGGTATGAAGCTTTGCCGGGGAGCTTGGCCGTCGAGCTTAGCTGTCATGTACAATCTCGGCAAATACACACCCGTACACCTCCAGCAACGCTTCCTCATCTTGTACTATCTATTGTACTGTCCACTGCACTGTCTGTGAAAAGACTTGGACCCCACTTGGAATGCATGCCCTTGGCAGATCATGTACATTGCTTCGAAGATATATCTTTTGTTATTATGACCAACTTTGTAGATATGAGCCTGGTACGAGTCCTGTATTCATAATCCATGAACATGTTACGTCGTTTTGCGGTCACCTACGGTAGAGCCGTGATACACCTGTGCACAGCGCCACCCCAGTGGCACACCGTAGCCACCACAACTCACACGCCTTGTCAGTAACTAGACAAAACCTACGACCAACCTGCATCAACCAAACCATGCAGCAAGTCTACACCCACGAAGGCCCCTACGAGTCAATCCCCTCGACCGCCACCCCCGGCCTCCAGTTCCTCAAACACTTCCTCCCAGCCCTAGACTCGCTCGATCCAAACGCAAACCCCGTCTCCCCCTTCATCCACCCCGACGCCCGAGTCTTCGCCGGCAGCGGCCCTCCAAACAGAGGCACAGACGTAGTCGGCCTCCTAAACGTCCGCCAGCGACATATCCAGTACTTCCACCACGATGTCCACAAGGCATGGGATATCGCACGAACAGACACGGGGAGCGGTAGCGATACCGGTACCGATACCCGGACGGTGATGTTCGAGGCGACGAGCGGTACCGTCTTCCGTAATGACCCGGATGATTTCGAGGTGCGGGTGAGGGAGTTTAACGTTCTCGAGCTGCAGTGGGCGGACTCTCAGTCCGACGGGGATGACGAGGGTAAGGGAGGGTTTGTCGCGGTCGAGATGCGGACGTACATGGATGCTCGGCCGGTGCAGGACCAGGCGGCGCGATTGCAGCGCGAGTCGGCGTATGGGGAGGCGAAGTCAACGGGGTGATCTGGCGTTCAGTGTTCAATACGTATAGACAAAGACTAGTCTAGTGGTATCATCAAATTTGTATTTGGCGCCGTTCTTATCAATCCTAGTGTTTCATAGCCGTTAGTGTATCCGTAGGAAGGAACGGAGGAGACTCTCTTTCGGGGTACATGATGTCATCCATAAGAAAGTTTGCCGCACTCTCCAATTCAATGATGTATACTGCGGAGTATCTGCAGGAGAATGTAGGAGTCAAGCATGCAGGCCAACGACGCAGGAACGAGTCATTTGCTGGGAGTGCTGCGCCCCAAGTGACTCAAGGGGTGCCTGAGCCGCTCATCAGACCCCTTTCTTGGCTTCAAATCTCGCTTGGGGGTAGATTGCGGACACCTCAGGCATATGTCTAGGCTACGGAGTACCGAGGTGTTAATTCATAGGATCAAGTCTA